TAAACAGCAGGGGTTCAGCAGGTTTTGAGGCATTAATTAAAAAAAAGGAGCTGGACATTCTCAGTCGGACAGAAGTTGTTTCCTCTTTGGAGAATACCATTTTCCAGAAGGATTGCACTGCAAAACTAATCTAATAAATAAGTGAAAATATAGATTATATTGGATTATAATAAGGTTAATCCATGTGCATAGTTCAGCGATCAGCAAGGGATACTTTCATACTGTGATCATGTTTCTGTCAATTAGCTCTTTAGATTTTGATTAACCGGATTATGTTTGACAGTAAATCACACAGCTCTACTTTTCATTCAATAACTGCGCCACCTTATGGTCAAACATCAACTGCAGTCAGCGGATCATTAACACCTATTTTAAAATGATAGTACTATGATTTTTATTTGAACCCGTGTCAGTATTGGTTGGTTTGCTGCATTTCAGCAGCTTGTTGGTTTGGAAATCAATAAATAATTTTTAAAGCCTTTGATCACCTTAATACTAACTGGGCAGAAACTATTTAAACCTGGACGTTTGCCTCATTATTTTCTCCCGGGTGCTGCTTCACTGAAATATTCACCTTTAACTGCTCATGGTCACAAAGAGTTTGTTCTTTTACGAACCCTTTTTTATTTCAGGATTCAAAGAAAAAAAATAGTTTTCTTTTAGTGTAATGTCAACAAAATTTGAGTTTTTTTTTTACATATTTGGCTGATTTTCTAAGCCATTTAACTCTGTCCTCTCCTACAGTCTCTTTAGCCTGCCGCCGTCTGAGGACAAAGAGCAGCCGACTGCTCATAAAGCTGATCGACTTGTCCTCCACCTGTCCAGCCCGTCGTTATCCAGCTCCTCGGACCCAGAGCAAAGATCCCCCAAACGGCCCCAAGCACAAATCATCGACGTGTCTCTGGAGCTGCAGAGACCTGAAACCTCCAGAGGTCGGCCTCATCCAACGTTAGAGGCCCGGGTTGGAAGCACAGAACCCACCTCAAACAAACAAGGAAGCGCACCGGAAGAGAACGAAGGCTGGAAAACTCGGATGGCGAAAGAAAAGGAGAAAGAGAAGATGATGGCAGAGAGAGAGGAGAGGAGTAAGAGACAGAGAGAGGAGCAGGCGGGAGAGGAAAACGAGCGACTGAAAAGAGAGGTTGAACAAGCGCTGGAGGAAGAGAGGGAGCGTTTGTTGAAAGAAAAGGAGAAGAAGATGCGTCTCCTTCAGGAGGAACTGAGGAGGGAAGAGGAGGAGGAGGAAAGGAAGCTGAGAGAGGAAAGTGAAAGAAAACTGAGGTAGGTGTGGGCTGAGTTTATTTTAGACTGGATCACCGCAAAATGTATGAGAGCTCTTAGGAATCAGATATGTCTCCACTCCAGGGAGCTACGGGAGAATCTGAGGGCCAAGAGAGGAGAGGAGGAGACCCGGCTGAAGGAGGAGGCTGAGAAAGCTCTGGAGGAGCTGAAAGGGTCTGTCAGGGAGGAAAGAGAGCAGCAGCAGCAGAAACTCAGGTAAGACGGACATAAAAATGTTAATCAGTCCAAAAAATCTAATACTGCATAAATCCTACCTGCTTAAAAAAGCCTACAAATAAAAAAAATGTCCTGTTAAGAATTTTTAAGTGTCTTCCCCTCCCCATTAAGACTGGTGTCTGTTTCATACAGGGATGAGAGCGAGGCGATAATAAAGGAGCTTCGCATCGCGCTGGAGGAGGAGCGAGCAGCGGCACGGGGCAGACTGGAGGCGCAGAAGAAGCAGGACATCCAGCGTCTGCAGGCGGAGTCCGAGGAGGAGCTGGAGGCCACCAAGAAGAGGCTGGAGAGGGAGAGGGAGGAGAAACTGAACACTCTTAAACAGGAGGTGACCGAGCGCCATGATAAATCCACAGATCTTAGCCGAGGCTAAATGTTAAATGTCCAACTATCAGTGGCGGCTGGTGGAGTTTTCTTCAGGGGGGCAATAAGTTCAGAATAGACGTACACCAAAAACCGATCCAACGTATACTGAGTTATCACACCAGTATATTACCGGTAAGATGAATGCCAACAGCAAAAAACAAAATATAAAAACACTTTATAAAAACAAAACATATTTTTATGTACAGATTTACTTTTTGTACATGAATCTTGCCCTTCTGAGGCTTTGTGAAGATAAATTTGTGTTTTACACGGTCGATTATATATATTGTGTCACAAACCTAAAAGAAATACCAGAAAAATACCAAATACCAAAAGTACCAGTATAATAATGGAGAAGCTATTAGTCAGCGTCATTTTTTTGTATTATAGAAGAACTATTGAAATTCTGAGAATGTGTTTATTTAAGAGCAGCTTTGCAAATTAACAAACATCTAGAAAAAGTTCACTATATTATATGATTATCCATGTGAATCCCAGATTGCTCGTTCTTCTTTGCCTTTTCTAAAAAAGCGCTTTAAATCAGTCCTGCCTGTCTTTATCCATGCTGGTTTAGATCCTGGCATTTGAAACAAGACAGGGTTCCCGCGGGTCCTTAAAAAGTCTTAAAAGGCATTGAATTCTTCAAAATAAAACTAAGGCCTTAATTGGTGTTAAAATGTCTTAAATCAGTCTTTCATAGGTCTTAATTTTTAAAACATCATAAATAGCATAATCATAATTTTTATTACGATTTATTTTTGTAATCTAAATAAAACGTAAAAATTGAAAAAAAAAAATGTTTTTGTTTTATAAAAAAAAAAAAAATAAAATGGCTCCCCATTATTGGTTCCGTCCCGATAGCGGAACCAATGAAAACGTTGTTGCAGCCGGGACATTTGGGAGATGCACCATTAACTTTTTGTCTGGAAAATATGAGCAAGTGTAAATGT